ACCACATTGTTGAAATTGCATTAATAGTTTTCTGACACCAATCAAGTTCCAACACATTTATTTTAATAAATATCTAATTAATAAACAACTATACATGTTAGATTTTCCTCAAATTACTTCAAATCTTTGAGAGGTCAAAAGTTTACCCCTCAAAACACAAGCTTCCAAATTAATTTGAATGATGCCAGAATTAAATAATCTATAACCAATCATAAAGATATCATTAATATCTCTCTTTGAGTAAATTTTTTAATATTTAACTCTACATTCTCATTCCATCAACATCATAAATTTAATACCCACATATCCAATAGGTTTACAAGATTTCAATGACTAATATTGACATAAATGAGTCATTAAACTACCATTAACGATCATCAACACTCCCAACAACCTCATTTATTGCTAATTTTAGATATTAATGGTCTTAACCCTTCACAACTCACAAAACCATAAATGTAGAATTTTAAAATTCTAAATAACTCTCATTATATCTATTTTAGTTAATGGCTTCGGATATCAGACCCATAGCTCATATGGACCAAAAGTCACTCTCCTAACTCAAATCCTAACTTAACTCCTCATAAAAATGAAAGAAAAGGGATGAGAGAAGCACAATGTCCTTACCTTGGTGGTTAGGATGCTCTAAAAATGTCCCCAATAGTCCCCAAGTACATGCCCTGAAAGAGCAATCTCATACTTATCATTTTTTTCTTTTTCTCTCCTTTAGTTTTTCATCTATTTTGTGACTAGTATATCAGAAAATCTAGCCATGTGCTATGACACACACAACACATGCTACAGCATATAGCACAAAGAGGTCATTCCTTTATTGTATGCCTATATATGTCATGGAAAACATTCCTTGTGCCACAACATGTGGCACAAAGAACCTTCCTTCACTTTTTCCTCCACTTTTGATACCCAGGTAGCTTGACTTTACTTCAAACTCATATTTAAAGCTGAAATCACAATCAAACACACTTATTCAACCTTTCTAGCGACACACGACATTATTCACTTAATTATCCTCATTAGGCTTAATTAACCAGGTTTAGATTTCTAGGATGTTACATTACATTGGGCTGAATTTTTTGGGCTTTAGTGAAGTTGCTCATTTTGAGCTGTTCAACGTGGCAAGTGTGATAGAATTTTAAAATCTCAAATTTACCATTCTAAATGACAATTTTATCTTGTTCTTGAGAGAGATCTGAGGGGGAGGCATCTCAACTCTATTAAGGTTCGACTATAGTGAAGGTTTAGAGGTATTTTAAGGTTCTTATGCCTTATGTAAGTCTTATACTTCAATATTCTTACTTTTTCCTAAATCTTTAGCTAGCTTTTTCAGGTATGTTAGGGCTATCAAAAAATGGTCACATTAGTAAGTCATTTAGGATATGTTTAGTTAAGGGGGGGAGGGGTGATGCTTTCCTCCCCTTATTTAGTTGAATTTCAAGGGGAAGGGAGCCAAAATTTATCCTTCCCTCCCCTCCTTTTGGTTCCCTTCAAATTAGAATTTTTTAAAGGGGAGCCAAATATCTTGGCTAATTTGTCCCTATTAGTTTTCTTATAATCCATAAATACCTATCGATCAAAACTCTGTCTCTTGTGCTTGACTTCACAGCTTCTTGTCATTTTTCTATCAAGCTTTCTTTGGTGAGTTTCCCTTTATTACTGATCATACTGTAGTTCAATCTATCTTAGCATTTGATCTGTGTCAAATCACTAGCAATGCCCTTTCCCTATTCTCTTATATGCAAATGAATGAGGTTGCTATCATGTTACTGTTCAATCTATATGAGAAAAGGGAACTGGCCATCACTCATTGTGGACTCTAACTCTAAGCTTTATTTTGACAATTGATAGAGTGAATAAAGGATGAGCAAGGAAGTTTGCACTCTATTTGTTTGGAACTAGAAGTCGGCAGAGGCTAGCTTGAAGGAAGGGCAAATGGTTGAAGTTTAATGATAAATTTCCATGTGCATGTGGTTCTAGTGGTTATAAACATGCTTTTGAATTTTAAAAATATTCAATAAACACGTGGCTAGGAATTCATTTATTTATTATTTATTTAAGAATAATGTTTGTGCATGTATTTTTAATTGCTAATCTAATCACCTAAACAACACAGTTTCAAATGATTGTTTATTATAAAATTCTTTTAAGGTGTAAATTAATTTATATAAGATAAAAGTAAAAAAATAAAATAAAAGATAATATATATGGGTATGATAGTAAATTAATTATTATGTCCCTTCCCCTCCTAAATCAAACAAGAGATCATTAAAAAACCCTCCCTCCCCTCCCTTCCCTCCTAACAAAACCAAATAAGGTAATATAAAAACGCTCCCCTCCCCTGAACCAAACACAACCTTAATGACTTGGATAGAACCTAAGGGTGCTCATAAAGGTCATCAATGAAGGGGGTTTGAGTAATGGTTAGCATTGAATATCATTATTATGGGTTAAAGTGCTAACCCCAATACTAAATAATTATGGTAAGAAAAATAAATTAGTAACTAGCAGTGATGGTTAAGTCTAGTAAAAGTCAAAAAAGCTAATAGAAATTAGTTTTGGAGTTAAATGTGCTTAATCTTACATAAGAAAGGGTTTATGCCTTAATCACAATTAATAATTAAATAATAACAGTTGGTCATTAATGATAGATTGTTGATCTCTATGTGTAAATATATACCAAAGCTTAGCAATAGCCAAAAAGCTTCTTTGTGTTCAAACTTCCTACTTTAGGGAATGATAAAGACTTCAACATAAAGATAATCAAATGCAATATTTTACTATAGTGAACAAATGAAAATAATATCATCCTAAGGATAATTAAAAATAACCTTTTATTGAGTTTTGGTTCATTATGCGAAAAGTCTTTGGGCAAAATGCAAGGTTGAATATAGGGGATAAAGATTTCATGTTTAGCATGATTATATCTTTGGCATGTGAGGCCAATGATGTATATTGTTATATTTAAGTATAGATTAGTATGTCAAGAATTGCCGTATATAATTATATTATCTAGCTACTAGTACCTCCCATTACCTATTGCGATACCATATAAGAAACTTGGAATACAATGTCGATTGGAGCAATTAAGCTTAACCTTACTCATTTGTACACTTAATTTATACTACCACAATATATTAGTAACTCAAATCAGCTTAATTCCATTCAATTTCAAAAAAATAAAAAACAAAATCTGTTTGACATGCAATTTTATTTTATAAGTGATAGGAGGTACTAGTAGCTAGATAACATTTTTGTATAGATGTTTAAACCACCTTAATTAGAGGTATGAGTGATTAAATATGTGAGGTTTGTAGTTAATTGATCAATGGGTATAGCAACAATGAGAATGTTTATGCAAGTCGATTGTGATGAGTGTGACTTTAGTTGCACCATGTTAGCCTTGTTGTAGTTAGCCACGACGAATTATTGCAATCTCCAAAAATGATTGCTTTGTCCTTTTATTCATCCCCTTTCCCAAGTAAAGTTGTGTTCTCTATGTTTTTGCATTGTTTTTAAATACTTTGATTTTTGAAAAGTAATAAAAATAGTCCAATCGTGAAGCTATATTTTAAGTTATCATAAATTTTTAAAACTATCCCTAACCTAATTATTTATATCTATTTCTCTAAATCTATGTTTTCCCTTCACCTTTTAACCCATCAAGATCACTCATAGACTTGATTAAATGATGGCCAATCATAAAATCAACATGAAGAACAAGAGAAATAAGTATAAGTGAAAAAATAAAAATATTCATAAATATAAATACAAAGACTCAAAATAAAGAAAATAAAAAACTAGCTCTTCAGTTGGGTTACATCCCTACTCTAATTAGATAATTTAAAAACACATAATAAAATCAAATAACACTATTCTAAAATTCTCATGAAAAATAATTACAAAGAAAATTAATGAGTAGAAAAAATAATTATGATTTATAGAACTCCTCAATGATCTCACTTTCAACCTTCAAAATGCTTATATGGCTTCTAATATCTCTGAAAAAATTCTTAAAATATTCAAATAAATGATTGAATAACTCCCCTCTTGATGGATGGGGTATTTATAGTCAAAGTAGAAGCTCATTCTCTTATTTTTAATTGATGTATGACTCTAATATATAAATTATTTGCCTCATAATATGATATGTGAAAATCCACTACTTCAATATATATATATATATATATATTATTTTCTTTTCTTTTTTTGTATTTTCTTCTTTTGTTTAATCTATTATTTTCTTGCAAAATAAAAAAGAAATATATGAGTAAATTTTGTATCAAAATTATTTTTTATCTTATAATTAAGTGATGGGAGAAAAATATATAAATATTAATTAAATATATATAAAATTTTAATAATTATAATCAAATTAAAAATAAAATTAAAATTTATTTAATTATAAAATATGCACTTATCAATCACTTCACGAGACTTCAGACTGATTAAAAATCTTCAAAGGGACTCCCTAGTAATTTTTCCTTTTTTTTTCAACGACAACAGACGCATTTATATACAATATCTTAAATCATTAAATTAGAATGCTTTAAATTATGAAATTACAAAGTCCTTACAAACGCACCTGTCTTGAGTTTTCACCAAAATTTCAAGTGAGCTTTTATTTCATCGCTTGCCGATTTTTAAGGTCAAATCATCCTTTTTAATACTTTTATGTATAAAATACAATTTTATTACGTCTTGAAAAGTTCAGATATCTCATCAAAATTAAAACAACACATAATAACTGCCAAGTGATGAAATATTGAAACTTTTTAATTTACGAGAATAAAATAATTAATACTATGAGTATTTTAGTCAATTAAAAATCGCATTATTATAATGTCACCAGTCACCAAATAAATCAAAAATCACTATTTATAAATCATGTTGGGCCTAAATATGCTGGGCTAAGTGTATTGGGATGGGCCCTTGCCAATATAAAAAAAAGGAAGGACTTGGACACAGTCATGGACATGGCAAGTCATAAGTCGTAACCCCGAAAAACAGTTCAGACGATGAGCTTCAGTCGTGCAGCTGCATGCCGTGCCATCTCAATATTTCGTTGCCCCGTTCTCTCGCGGCAAACTCGGAGCACACTTAGACTCCGGCGCCGATCTTGATTGAGCTCTGTGAGTCTTTCTCTTTCCATTAGCCCTTAAGTTTTGATTTTTATTTTGTTGTTTAACTCCTCTCCCTCCGTTTTTATTCTTCTTATATTTGCTTATATATCTCTGCTTTTGCATGCCTCTGTATATAAGTTATAGATGGGTTGCAGTGGAAAGGAAAAACATACCCGAGCAAATCGAAAATCTCAATCGGTTAAGCCAGACAACTGCTGTCTTCGCAGATTTTCAATCTCTAAATCTATCATGGAATCAGGCCTCATGCCGCTGAAATACCATTTGGATCTCGACGATTCCACTCAAAACCCGAATCCCGATTCACACCCTAACATCAAACCTGCTCCTAATGGCGAGGAATGCGGCTGGGGTTACTGCACAGAAGAACACTTGGAAGAAATTCTATTGAAAAACTTGGAGTATTTATACAACGAAGCTGTATCAAAGCTTGTTATTTTGGGGTATAACGAGGACGCTGCTTTAAAGGCGGTATTGCGAAACGGGCATTGTTATCATGGTGGAACGGATTTGCTGACAAATATATTGAACAACTCGTTGGCTTATTTAAATAGTGATAGTGGGAGTGATAGTACAAGGAAAGGCAATTTGGATGAATCAGAGCCTGTCTTCTCAGACTTGAGGCAGTTGGAGGAGTACTCTCTAGCGGTCATGGTCTGTCTCTTGCAGCATTTAAGGCCGCATTTGAGTAAAGGAGATGCCATGTGGTGTTTACTTATGAGTGATCTTCATGTGGGAAAGGCAAACAAAATGGAAATCCCCGTGCTTCCTGAGCCAGGCGACGGTAATCCTTCTTCTACTACAGTTGAAACGGTTAACAAGTCAGTACATGTGATGAGTATGACCCCAGCTCTTTGTAGGCTTCATGGGAGTTGGGCATTTGCAAATAGCGGTGAGTCTGATTTCCCTGCCAATGGATTATTTTCTTGCGATGCAGACATGACTTTACAAAGAGATATTGAATTCCCAAAGAATTTTAATCTCTCTCCTTCTATGAAGTCATTGCTGAAAAGAAATGTGGCTGTTTTTGCTGCCTGTTTAAGGGCAAACTCAAAACAATTGCAGACACAAGCAAAAACACGTCCTGGCGATAGTTATTCATCTATTTCGGATTCTCCTCCTATACTGGGGACTAAACCTCCAGTTGAGGAGTCGGGGGATTCCCAGAATCAAAATAACCAAGATGCTGTGAATTCAGTTCTGAGTAGATTTTGTGATCTAAGTTTTCACGAAAATGTGGAGTCTCTGGCAAAAGATCGGAAGGATGAGTTGACTTCCACTATACTTCATCAGATTTATGATCTTGAGAAACAGGTACAGGAGCGAAAAGATTGGGCTCATCTGAAGGCAATGCAAGCTGCAAGAAAGCTAAGCAGTGATCTGACTGAGCTGAAAATGTTAAGGATGGAAAGAGAAGAGGTTCAGAGATTGAAGGAAGGGAAACAGGCCCTTGAGGACACAACTATGAAAAGACTTTCAGAGATGGAGATTGCACTGAGAAAGGCAAGCAGTCAAGTGGACCGAGCAAATGCAGCAGTGAGGAGACTTGAAACTGAAAATGCAGAGATCAAAGCAGAGCTGGAGGCTTCTAAATTGAGTGCTTCAGAGTCTGTCTCAGCTTGCTTGCAAGTTGCAAAAAGAGAGAAAAAGTGGTTGAAGAGGCTTCTAGCTTGGGAAAAACAGAAAGCTAAACTACAGGAGGAGATTTCAGATGAGAAAGATAAGATACCGGAGATGCAAAAAATGTTGGCTTGGATAAAACAATGTCAGAGAGAAGCTGAGGTATGCTCTTCCCCACGCCCCCTTTTATTTGTTGATCTATCTAATAATGCCACTCAGAGTCTCAGACTCGCATAGAAGAAAGAAGAAACAGAAGGTTTTCTTGCTGTATCTGTAATATAAGATTATTGGTTGGAGTTGCATATTTCATTTAGAAGAAAAATAAGATTGATATATATCAGACATCTGCAATACGGCTAGACAGGTGTGAGACACAGGTTGCTATTGTCACATTGTAATCTATAGTTGTGCATCCATTCGGGATTGCGGCAAATTTCTGCATACTTCAAAACTATTTCTAGTTACTTCTCCATATTAGTACTTCTCTTGAGGGGAAAAAAAAAAAGGCAGCAGTAGCACAGCCAAACAATTCGAATGATTGGGTGCATATCTAGCTTGAAGTTGGAGTCTGCAAAGTGTGGATTAACACATTTAAGTTCATTCTTCCATAGATGAGGCTTGTAATCGTGTTTGTCTGTCATATATTTAACGGAACAGCTTTTCTATTTGATTTGTATTACCAGAAGAGGAAGTGTTGCTGGTCTTTAATTTGCTTGTCTTTCCTTCATTACTCCCCTATTGGGAGAGTAACTACCTACCGCATAACAGTTGCAAACAATAGGCATGTCAAGTGCTTTTTTTTCCTTGTAGATCCTGAACTCTATAACCTAGGTGTTTCTTCATTCATAGTTTTTGAAATGAAATTATTAATCTTTTCTATTACAAGTCTATGACCATGGTACTTGATGGTTGTTATATCTGAATTTTCTCTCCGTAAACTCCATTTATGCTCTCTTAATTGGAATGAAATCATCTCACCATGTCGTCATTTCTCAACTGAATTCATTAACTTCGCATTGGATCCCTGCCTCTCAATTATTCCCCTTGTAAATGTCATGTGGTGCAAATTGCTGTCACTGTTTGGCGGTTCCTTGGTTTTTGCTTCCTCATTTCCCTCAAAGAATGACAGGACATAATTTATTCTTCTCTCTAATTATTTAGTTGACCAACCCATGCTCTTACTGAATCAATTTTACGCTACATAATGTATTTTGGCAGATCAAGCGGAGGGAGGAGTTGAGGGCTAAAGAGGAAGCCTTAACACTGTTTAAGGAGGAAAAGCGCTTGAAGGAAGAAGTAGAGACAAATAATAAGAGGAAGCTTGAGGCTTTGAGCTTAAAGACAGAGATTGATTTTCAACGCCACAAGGATGATCTCCTAAGACTTGAGCAAGAACTTTCACGTCTTAAAACATGTGATCAGCTTGCTAAGTTGCATCATCACCAATCAAAAAATTCACCTGCAGATGAGTCTGAGGGGGCAAGGCCCCAAAGAGAGACAATTGCTAAGCTACTTCAAGAATTAGATAAATTGGAGGAAATTTCCAAGAAAGAAGACAAGTTTGATAGGGAATGCATTGTATGCATGAAAGATGAAGTGTGTATTGTATTCTTGCCGTGTGCACATCAAGTGATGTGTGGTAGATGCAGTGATGAGTATGGGAGAAACGGCAATGCTGTTTGCCCGTGCTGTCAGGTTTCAATCGAACAGATGATCCGTGTATTTGGCCCAACTTCTTAGCTTTTTTATACTTTGAGGTTTTTGCTGAGTTTTCACTTCGTCTTTGCACTCATAAGGGTTATTTGTCCTTAGTCTCATAAGGCAATGCACGCTGTGAAAAGTGGAAACTGGGCACAACGCTGTGCATAAACCAAGCCTCGGCGTTTGCTTTTACATGGAAAACTGATAAAATATCATAAATCAAGTTGAACCCGCTTCATAACGGCTTTCTGGACTGTAGCATGGAAACATGTATCTAATTTTATATATGGAAGCCATTGGGCGCATATTTTCTTCCGTGGAGAATGTTCTTTTTGAAGGAAAAGAGACGGTAATTGTAAATTTTATTAATATATTTTTTACTTGTGATAAAAGAGTATGGTGATTGCATTGAGGATTTTTTTATGGAGAATTTTAATTCATGCTAGTTGAGTGTAATTTTTTAATGTTTTCAAGAAATAATTTCCCTAAGATGTGTGTGTTAATTTCCTCGCATAGAGATTTAGTTTTATGGTTTTGAAAAGAGAAATGGAAGAAAATTATTATAGAATCTGATAAAAAAGAAGAGTACAGATGGCAGGATGAAAACGGTGCCACATGGGAAAACCTGGGCCTCAAAATGAACGAGTTGGGAATGCACGAGAGAACTGCTCATGTAAAACATCAAACCAGCTGTTGTGAAACATGAAAAAAGCGTAGATTCTGATTCAGAAAGTTAGGTTAACGAATAACAACCCACACGCTTCTTTGTTCTTTTGGTTCCAAAAGGTTAAATTTTGATGTTATGAGGCATTATTGGTTCTGCTTCTACTTGCTTGCCGTGACTCAAAAGGGCTTTTCTGGACTCTGACTTCTCCCAACCACACTGTTGCCCCATTCTTTAATGCCCAATCAAGTATCTGTGGCCTTTGCCCCGGTTGCTTTGACAGCTCCACCACCAAAAATAAATAAATAAATAAATTGCATGACTTAGCAGTAATTTATGTTAACCTCATGAAATCAAGCTTGTTTTGTTTAGTTGATGTTTCTGTACGTAGCCTTAAGTGGTGAGAGTCTGTTACTGTCAACAATCACGCTCCAATATTATTGGACGCTTCTCCGCGTTTCCCTTGCTTCAGTTACAACTTTAATGCCCCTGATCATGATTCATGATACTCCCCGCAGATATGAACTAAAACATGTGAGATCGAGAATCTACAAATCCACAAATAATTTGTGCAAATACCACTGATAAGATATTCTTTTAAAACCCCACAAAGACATTGGAAATCAAATACATAAAAATGAGAATCACCAAAAACTGTACCTTCTGGTTTTTAGAGAATTGTATGCTTCTTGACATGATTTTCTATCAAAATTCAGCTATTTCCACAAGCCAAAAAGGCTTTTCAACCATAACTTTTGGAAGAAGACTGTATGCTTTGTCTTGCAAGCATAGTAGAGTAACATCTAATGACTCAAAATGAAGTGAAGGTAATTAATATTATTAGACTTCTGCTGACATTGACTTCTAAGACTCCATAAAGTACTCAACTTGAACTCTTGTGAACTTTAATGGATTTCACGTGAATATAGAAGTGACATGGCCAACTCTTCTCCCTCTTCCACACCATAAAAAGTTGACACTCGCTCAGCATCATACATTTAGAGTCCTAGACTCCCCGCCAAGAAATGGTCCTGAAATTTCATGCAGGCTTTGAAATGGCAATGGCTGCGAATGAGAATGGCAGGATCACTGGGAATTGGAAGAAACGTGTTCATAGAGCTGGTGAGAAACTGAAGAGGCTTCCGAGTTTGGCTTGGCAAACCATGTGGAAGGTGGGACGCGAAGACCCCAGAAGGGCGATCCATGCTTTAAAAGTGGGCTTGTCTCTAACTCTTGTTTCTCTGCTGTATCTGGTGGAGCCACTGTTCAAAGGGATTGGAAAGAATGCTATTTGGGCTGTAATGACCGTGGTTGTCGTGCTTGAGTTCACAGCAGGCCAGTTTCTCTTGATTTGTTCTGCTCATACTACTCTATATATGCTGCCTTTGAACTTGGATGACTATTTTTTTTTTTTTTCTTGGGGTTACAGGGGCAACATTATGCAAAGGTCTGAACAGAGGACTTGGAACCATTTTAGCAGGATTATTAGCTTTCCTTATTCAGTATATTGCAAAATCATCTGGCCATGTCTTTCAAGCTATTTCCATTGGAGCTGCTGTTTTTCTAACAGGTATCCTTTCTGATAATTCAAAAGGGATCATGCCACACACGACCCTGCTGTTTTGCTAACCTATGGGATTGTGCGGTCGTGTCAGGAGCTGCAGCTACTTACATGAGGTTCTTTCCCTACATAAAGAAGAACTATGACTATGGCGCAGTGATATTTCTCTTGACCTTTAATCTGATAACTGTGTCGAGCTACCGAGTTGACAATGTATTGACCATTGCACACGATCGCTTGGTCACCATAGTCGTAGGCTGTGGCATCTGCCTCCTCATGAGTCTTCTGATATTTCCAAATTGGTCAGGGGAAGACCTTCATAACTCCACGGTTTTCAAGCTCGAAGGCCTAGCCAATTCTATAGAAGGTATGCAAACCATTGACAAGTAACCTTCTTTTGCCTTTTTTCTTTAAAGAAATCCTATAATGGCTGGCAAGGTAAAATGTTGCAGCGTGTGTCAATGAATACTTCCATGGTGAAACGGAAGCGAGCGAAGACATGAAATCATCCGAGGATCCTATTTACGAAGGTTATAAGGCCGTTCTGGACTCAAAATCCACTGATGAAACACTGGCAAGACATCTGCTTTAGATTCATTTATTTAAATAGTATACGCAAGAGTTCATTATAACAGATTTTCTAATGTTGCTGCATTCTATTGTGAAAGAGTAGGCATTGCATGCAAGTTGGGAGCCGAGGCATTCAAGGTATTGTCACCGATTCCCATATAAGCAGTATGTAAAAGTTGGAGCTGTTCTTCGTCAATTTGGGTACACCGTGGTTGCATTGCACGGCTGTCTAAGAACTGAAATTCAGGTAATATTTGAGAAATCAAATTAATTTGACCAATCAGCTAATTCATTGCATGCTTAACTTTTGAGAAATCAAATTAATTTGACCAATCAGTTAATTCATTGCATGCTTAACTTTCAATTTGTTTTAAAGACGCCACGATCTGTTCGAGCCCTGTTCAAGGATCCCTGCATACGGCTTGCCGCAGAGGTATCTAAAGTACTGATAGAACTAGCCAACAGCATAAGGAATCGTCGTCATTGCTCTCCGGAAATTCTCTCTGATCATCTTCATGAAGCCTTGCAAGACCTCAACACTGCCATAAAATCTCAGCCTCGTCTCTTTTTGGGATCCAATGATAGTCGAGCTACCAACATGTTTGCTATTGCTGCAGCACAGGCAGGGCAGAAAATGCAGAAACTCAATAATGGAGTTTCACTATCAAGTGTTAAAACAGACTCTTCGGCATTGCTGGAGTGGAAAACTAAAAGGGTTTCTGCTGAGCAATCAAAGGACGCAGAGAGAAAGACTTTAAGACCCCAACTTAGTAAAATCGCGATCACTAGCCTTGAGTTTTCTGAAGCTCTTCCTTTTGCTGCTTTTGCTTCATTGCTTGTGGAGACAGTTGCAAAGCTGGACTTTGTCATTGAGGAAGTTGAAGAACTTGGAAGATTAGCTTGCTTCAAAGAGTTCAGACCCGATGATGAGGTTGTTGTAACTTGCGAGAAATCCCGTGTTGATGTGACTCAAAACCATTTAACTTCTCACGGGGTAGATTGATTTACAGAGTTCTTTGGAACTGTATTCTTTCATGAATAAGAAACTAAGGGTGTTTTATTATTTGATGACTTTTTACGACTTAGTGATATAATTTTCAATTAGTACAGTGTCACTTTCGGAAAACGGTGAAAGTCATCTGAAGTGCTCAAAGTGCGAGCTTATACCAGAAGCGTGTTGGGGGCAAAGAATTCGTCCATTTTTCCTTTCATGGCTTCTGTCTACATCCATTATGAAACAAATCCTCCACAGTAATGTCTTTGTGCAAAGAAAACAAAAATCCCTAAGCCTTCGTCATCTTCCACTAGGAAGATCTAATAACAAAGAAATATAGAAAAATGAATATGCATAAGCTAACCTTTCACTCGTTTCATTTTCAACTCTTAAAGGGGAGCATAAATGTGTTGAAGGAATTATTCTTTTGCAGCCATATAGAAACCTTGCTTAGTGAGGAAAAAGCCGCATGCGCGCTTTTAGATGGGGAGAGTCGGTGCTGAGAGTGAAGCAGGGGACGGAAGAATCTGTCACAGGCATTATCACATTTTTACACATGGTAATTGCTAGTGCTTTTTAAAAAAAGCGTTCTTAAAATTTATATACTAGTGAGCTCCTCTATAAGCGTACCTGCCAAGATGGAGAAACTTGGAGAGATGTACTTGTGCGAATTGTAGTTTCCCGGAAACTCTTGGCCACTCTTGAATATTTGTAATTTTGAATTCTTGTTTGTGTAAGTAATATCATAGCGGGCATGCCCAATACAAAATGATGGGCTTCGGATTAATGCAATGTTATTAGTAAAAGTTAGAGACGAAGTGCTCGAAATAATGTGATTGGATGAGGTTATACGCAGGACAGGCACACATGAGCCTTAATGAGTTTTATTGAACATTTACCCAATATTGCACATATATCAAAACACCAGTTACCGCTTGTAAACATGAAGTTTATTGGATGCTCCTCAAAGCAACTGCACACTGCAATTGTCCTATCAACTCCAAAAGCAAGATTTATATTGATTTTTTGGAAGACACATCTCTGCAATGATAAGGTTATATGGCGGCTCTGGTGACTAAAAGTAGAAACTGGAGCCCAATTCTGTTGGCACGCAGATTCTCCTTCCTGTTTGTTCCTGCTTTTGACTTCAAGCTTTACATAATTAAGCATCTTCTGCGCGTAATCTTACTACAGTGCAAATATCAGATTGAATTAGCATGATGCACGCATTGGCATGCTCTTGCGTTGGACTTGGAAGAGGAAGAAGATGGAGCCGAAGAAAAGCTTTTACTTAATACAGCACATATATTATAAGAAGCTTTTACTTAATCATAGAAGCTCGCTTTTACAGAAGATTGATAGTAAACCAATTCTCAGGGGTGAAATCGATAGAAGTGATGATCACCGGGCCACACTACATAGTGACACAAATGACAAACATGCGCGATCACTTCAAACAGAAAAACAACTCTGGTTGGTGCATGATAAGTGTACTTTTACGTCTTATTCGTCACTCCAAGACACACATTAAAAAAAGCGTTGCCTCGGATATCCCTTCTAATAACAAACCAGGTCATAGTTTAAATAATTAGGATTGGACTCTCGCATCCAGGCAAGAAACCGTCTCCAAATTCTCCTAAACTCTCATCTTAGCCTGCTTGTCTTTTCAGAAATGTCTTGGATGCGTGATTGAATTGAAGTGGTCAAAACCTTCATAGGTCACAGGGTCATTTCCGTAGGAGTCCATGAAGTTCGCTTGTGCCATGTAGGTTGACATGCTAAGATCACCGGCAAATTCAATTTCCCCATTCAAATTTGAGTACGATGAAGAGGGCGAAATGTCTCTGTGTTCCAATGGCTGCCATGGGGTCACTGAACTTGACAAGTCATACTGTGGAAAGTACTCGGACACTGCATGTCGTACTTCAGGATAGTCCTGCAGTTGTTGAGAGGGGAAAAAATGGTCAGAAACGCCTCTAAAACTAAGCCATACAATCTTAAATTTTCTTCTTTATTGTCCCTTCAAAAATGCAAGACCTTTGAAGAATCAAGAATAAAATCTGGAGAGATCCAGATATCTGAAGGATTAGTCTCCATTGAAGACGTCTGAACTGCATTGGAGGGAGAAGCGATAGGGCTTGAATGGCCACTCTCATTGTGCAGATGACTGGTTTGTGACGAAACGTCACCAGAGATGTTGAAAGGCTCGCTTGAGATTTTCATGGAGGTGCCATTCCCATTAACAGAACTGCCTCCAGCCTTTTTACCCTTGTGTTCTCCCTTCAAATCATTTGGTTTCTCATTCTTCTTCACTACTCGGCATAAAGCAAAAGCACCCTAGACTCAAAAACACACCAAACATCACTCTTGTGAGCTTCCAACACTAAGACATTACATTGAAGGAGGCTTAACTCAAGGAACTTCAGAACTGTAAAACATACCTGAAAGCTCGGTGATCTTGGGGCAAGATCATCACAAAGGCGATACTCGTGCATGACCCAGTCGGTTCGATCCCCTAAGGGAGCTCTACCGCAATAGAAAACCAGAGTCTTCCGATAACCGGTGACGGAGGAAGGAGAAGAGTGGCATACAACCTTCCTGTCTTTTCCGGTGGCTTTCCAGTACCCAGCTTTGGTTGCTCTATTTGTTCTTGAACCATTCGGATATTTTCGATCTCTGGGACAGAAGAAAAACCATTCCATATCTCTCTTTGGAAGGAATGATTTCTCTGCAAATCGCACAACTCATGAGTTAGACTTCTGGAATTCCCTTAACACCAGGGGGAAAAAGAAAAAGAAAAAGTCGTGGCGTTGCTTTTTTCCAAGCTTGACAGAAAAAAAAAAAAATAAATCCCCTAGGGTCGGCTTTTGCAAGGGGAAAAGTTATCAATAATAATTAACCCCAAGAAAAAAGTCGTGAAAAGAAAACGAACAATAGTCCGCTTTCTGACGTTCAAAGTCCCTGTTTTCACACTGTTATAGAAGAGGTTCCTTTTACTGCAATATTATATTGCAAATTATGACAATGAAAATTCGTAGATTACCAGGTAACTCCCAGGGATCAAATTTGTAAAGATCAATCACGGGGATAACTTCAAGCTCAATTTCCAGTCCCTCCACTTTTCTTTTCAGGTAATATCCCACCAGTTCTTCATCAGTAGGATGGAATCGAAAACCTGGTGGCAGTGCCGCACCTCCCATTGTAATTTCTTTCTTTCTAAGAAAGACTCGAACAATTTTGGAAACTTGAAAAAGGAAGAGGAAGTGGGGGGGAATCAAATTCTGGAAATAAAGCTCGAAGCTTTACGGAGAACTGATGGTAGTTTCCGAGATCTGCAAAGGGGGATAATGTAAACCGCCACTAAGTTTCCAGACTATATCTATTGAAGATATGGAAAATCCAGAAATAGAAGCTTCTCTCTAAAATAGATTTTTCATCAAAAGTCTGGTAGAATTTCCACAGACGGCACCCGTTGAATGCCAGAATCATCGTATTCACGAAATTCGAGGTCTCTTATCGCAGCTACCTCCCAGCACCCCCAACCCCTCCCCTTAATAATTAATCCCAGAAAAGTAAAAGAACAAGTTGAAAAAGTGGAAGCTATAACTGCCCAGAGGAACTGTAAACAAGGGACCCAGAAAGACAAAGTGATGACTGAACAAGAGAAGAGTGAGTAGGTAGAAATGAAGAGAAAGTGTAGAGTAAAAGCAGAGGGGAGTGGAGCTGCATTTATAGCATTTGGGAATTGAGAAGGGAACCAACAGTCCGCAAATGCTTACACCGAAAGTTTGAGGTAACTTGTCTCAAGTGCACCAAAAATTCTAAAGGGCATTGGCCCACCGCTAAACCCGTTTCACACCAGAGGCAGAGCATCAGGTTCCCGCCAATTCAAGTGATTTGTGACCGTTATTGCCAAGGTCCAGTTCCGGCGGATTTCAAGTGAACATTAACGCTGAGATTCAGCATTCATCATCGTGCCCTTGAATCCATAGGAGGAAAAAAAAAAGCAGTTGGGCGCCTCCAGTTTCATCAAATCAAAGTCCAATTCGACTTTGAAAGTTGAAACATTCTTGATGATGATTCAACTTTGACCACTCCGAGCACGATGGAAATGCCAGATGCCAGCCTCCGTCCCTCTCCTGTTGAATTCAAGCGAAGTGTTAGTATGGCAAATATAATATCCCCATTTTTTTCAGATCTAAGCGACTTTGAGATGAAATTTTCTGATAATTAGAATTTATCATATAATTAGTTGAATAAAAAAATTTACTCAAAACGAGGTTAAAGATATAATTTTTTGGAAAAAAATTATAAAATTAAGTGAGATTAGAAAAACATTTAAAATAATGTTCCAAATTGTCATATAATATTTAGTTAATATTAAAAAAATATTTAAATAAAATATAAGAATTCAGCTCAAACTATCAAATTTTCAAAATGTATGAACTTTTATTGTGTATATTTGTAGTTTAATAAAAAGAAAATGAGAATAAAATTCTTTCGAAAATAAAAAAATGAAGTTTAATATTTTGATAAATTTTTTTAATAATAGAAATTATATTTAACAAATTGTGATTTTTTTTAAACTCTTATGATTCATAAAATAAAAATTATTATTTTTTAAATAAAAGTTGTGATTGAGGCTTATTTTTCAATAATAGAAATTACACTTGACAAATTGTTATTTCTTATTCAACTTTTATGATTTACAGAATAAAAATTGTGATTCTTTAAAAAAATTGTGATTGGGATCTTATTATTTTTAGTAAGGACAAAATGGTCTTTTTTTTAAAAAGGTTATTGACAAAGAGATCCTTGAAAATTTATAAGTATTATGACGTTTTAAAAGACTAAGTTATCATTTATATAATTTAAAGGGGTTTTATTATCATTTTCTTTTATGATATATAAGGTAAACATAACTTTTGACTCCTGTTCTTTACTCTCATTTTATTTTTTATTTCTATACTTTTTTCAATATTTTAAATTCTTACACTTTTATTTTTTATTATTTTGTGTCCTTTCAAGAACTCTATACCTTACTCATAGAAAGACTGAAAATAATAAAAAATAAAAATTTAAAAATTTAAAATATAAAAAAAGGATAAGAATAAAAAACAAAAAGGGAGTAAATTAGAAGGATTAAAAGTTATATTTATCACAAAATATATTTATGTATGTATGTATGTATGTAGATTAGAAAAAGGAATAAATAAAAATAATGAATTTACGGGCATGGGCCCAAGCACACTATTTGATTAAAACCCTCGGCTGTGCTCCGCCATTACCTGATACATTCCTTTTCCACCTTTCAAGCATAGCGCGGCGATACTGTGCGTGAGAGGGAGGCACATCAAGAATGAGAGTCAGAGATAGTGTGGGGGCTTTATTTGAACATTATTGAATTCCAAATGCTCTTATTTTAAGATTTTTAAAAATTAGGTGAATGATTTAGATTTCTTTCTTTCTTTTTTTTTTTGGTTCTGTTTGATATTTTTGAGATTTAAGGAAAAGAAATTTAGAGTTGGATATATTTTTAAATTTGTTAAGTGTTTTCAACTTATTATTGGGCTACTAAGAGAGCTAAAAAAGTTACTATATTAAAAGTCTATATGTATTAGTTTTATCTTAATTATTAATTTTGAAGGCTGTAGAGTAGTTTTTAATGTTTCAAGAGATTTATGATAAATGAATAATGATATATTTATAATCCAGCAGGCTATAAAATCTTTCTAGAGGTTAAATTTATTTATAAATAAGCTAAATATGAGGATTAAAGTTGAACATATAAATATAGAAAATTGAAGGATGAACTTTAAAGTTGGAGTTTTAGTCCCTTGAGGAAAATTTGAATATAAGTCATTTTTATTAAATTTATAGAGGTCAAAAATGAACAAAAATTTATAAAATTTAATTTTAAATTAAAGGATAAAATAGTTTAAAGATTACATGGGGATTGTTGGGAACTATTAGAGTTAATTTTTGGACAAAATAAATTTGAGACTTGTTAAATAATTATATTTATTATTATTAATTTTTGTACATTAGTGTCTATGTTGGTGGTCTGTGCATATTTCGAAACGGATAATTTTAGCTGCAACTATGGTTGTTCTTGATAGAAAACACAAAAATTTTGAATAATTGATAGAATTTCACTTTTAGAGCCTCTTGGGCTTTTGGTCTACGTGCTTTAAGAAAACTTTATACATGGAGACAAACAATACATATATAGGAAACTAAAAGAAAAAAAAAGCACACAGACCCAATATAAGCCTAAGATTACCAACTGTAACTCAACCCAATTCTAATTCTCAATACTCCCCCTCAAGTGAGACCTAAACATATTTAAAGTACCCAATTTAGATAGCATTCACTCATGAGCACTTTTTCCAAGAGACTTTGTCAAAACATTCGCTTCTGTCCCCTAGTTTTCACACGTTTTAAACTGATCAACCCATTTTGTAGTTTCTCCCATATGAAATGACAATATATCCCAATATGTTGCGTCCTCTCGTGATAGACAGGATTCGAAGCTATTTGAATAGTAGCTTTACTATCACAATGCATAAGAATAGGAGTTAGATTAGAAATATATAAATTTGTGAGCAATCCATTCAACCAAACTAATTCAGAAACTAAACTGCCATGGCTCGATATTCTACCTCAATAGAAGATCTTGAAATAATACTTTGCTTTTTAGATTTTCATGAAATTATACATATCTTCGTGATTCAGGACATGTAGCCCAATTTGAATCATAAAAACCTTCTAATTTTATGTCTCCTATAGAAGGAAAAAATAAGCCTTGTCCAGGATTTTTCTTTAAGTACTTAACATTGTTCAAAGAAACTTTCAAATGAGATTTTTTAGGATTTCCCATGAATTGACTTAACACTTAAACTGAGTAATTAATATTAAGTCTGGTTGTGGTTAGATGTAAAAGTTTTCCTGTTAGATGTATATATCTAGTAGGATTTCCTAGTAAGTCATCTTTCTCCCCCTTTCTAGGTTCACTAAATAACCTCAAACCAGGATTCATTGGCATGTATCTAGGCTTAAAAGCTCCTAAACCTATAGTAGTTATTAAGTCCAATGTATACCTTCGCTGATTAAGGACAATTTCCCTTACTTGATCATGCTATTTCAATTCCAAGAAAGTATTTTAACGACCCTAAATCTTTCATTTTAAAATGCCCATGTAGATAACTCTTAGTTATTTCTATTCTAGCTAGATTATTTTCTGTTATAACAAGATCATCTACATAAGCCAACATGACTATAAATTCATTTTCACATTGTCTGGTAAATAAAGAATTATCAAATTTGCTTTGAACAAAACCACCAACTATTAATGTATCACGAAGCTTAACATTTTACTACTTGGCAGCCTGCTTCAGGCTACATAATGATTTCACTAGCTTACACACTTCTTCTCCCCTTTTCTATTAAATCCAAGAGGTATCCATATATACCTCCTTATTTTAAATCTCCGTGGAAAAATGCATTATCAACATCCATTTGAAAAAGATTGCAGTTATTTTGCAATTATAGTTAAAACAGAATAGACAGTGGTCATTTTAATAATCAGAGAGAAAGTTTATAAATAATATATTCCTTCTTTTTAACTAAAACCTTTTGCTACTAATCTTGCTTTGAGTTTATTTAAAGTACCATAAGCATTGTGCTTTTTCTTGAAAACCCACTTACAACTTATAGCTTTCTTCTCAGGGGCTAAGTTAACTATTTTTCATGTGTTGTTTCTCTCCAAAGCACTAATCTCATCTTTCAACACTTTTATCCATCTCTCATCTCTTATAGCCTTTTCAAATGTGTCAGGTTCAATTATGTCATCAGTTTGGGCAATAAAATCCTTATATGCCTGTGATATGTTTACATAACTTGTACTATGTTGCATGGGGTATAAAATTTTCTTATTTCCTTTGCTATCTATTTTATTAGCAAAATATAAACTAGAACAATCATAGTTAGTTAGCCATGTGGGTGCTTGTCAATTTCTAACAGGTCTAGTATGTGGTAATTCTAAATTATTCTGTAAAGGATTATAATTTGAATTTACCTCATCCATAAGATCAGAAATGACATTTAGAGGAAGACCAGTAATATCATTAGATATGAAAGGATCAGAAAATCTTACCAAATCTTGTGCTTGTGAGGTAATGTCTGCATCTGTAAAAGGAAAGTAATTTTCAAGGAATATAACATCACGATTAATAAAAATTTTATCATTCTCAATATCATACAGAATATAACCCTTTTGATTATTTAGGTAACCTAAAAAAACACAAGCTTCAAGCCGAGTCTCAAATTTATCTAACTTCAAGTTCTTTATCATACAGTAATTCATATGGGCTTTGGTAAGTTAGATAGAGTTCTATTTATTAGGTAAACTACAATTCTAACAGTCTTTCCCTAGTATTTTATTGGTATATTAGCTTGGAAAATTAAACTTCTAGACACTCATAAGACATGTTTGTGTTTTCTTTCAATGACCTCATTTTGTTGAGGGGTGTAAACACAGCTGGTTTCATGAATAATGCCATTTTCTGAACGATAAGCAGACAAATCACGAGACGTGAATTTAGAACCATTATCGCTTTGGATTTTCGTAATCTTAGTTTTAAACTGATTTGATATGAGGATAAAGAAAGTTTTAAGATAGTAAAATGTTTCATACTTGTTGTACATAAGGTAGACCCCTGTGTAACGAGATAAATCATCAACAATCGTTAAGAAAAATTTATAACCCTAATTGGTTGACTCCCTGTATGGTCCCCAAACATCAATATGTATCAAATCAAAACCTAAGGTACTCTTTATTTCATTAGAAGGAAATGATAGCCGAGTTTGTTTAG